CATAGAATGCAATGATTTCCAAATACATGATGAAAAATATTTTCTTTGCAAGTGATGAAGCAAAATCCAGCTCATGTTTGATTTGAAACGCTTGATATGGATGAGTCATAAATATTAGAAAATTAGAAATTAAAGAAATTTATATTGGTTGTTAGACCACATATAAGTATAAGTTGTATAACTAGATTATCTAATACTTTTACATATTGACATTCAATACTATGGTCTAGTAGTATTCCTCTTCATTTGTAAGTGAGAGGTTTTAAGTTCGAATCTCGTGAATGACGAATTTGATATTAAATTAGGTTGTTCATTGTATGACTTAGCTGAACTTTTCCTTCCCTTAGTGTAAAATATAGGGGTTTTAACGAAAAACCCATGGTACTGTTCACTTTAACGAAAAATTACATTTTTACACTAAAAAGTCAATTCTGGTACTATTCACTTTAGCCTTTATTTTGTCCTTATCGTTAAAACTCAAAATTTTCAAATTTTTTTATTAGTTTTTTTTTAAAATATATTGTTGTACTCAAAAAAGAAAATTACTTATACATATTAGATAATATTGGTGATTTTCACACGTGGCACAGATCGGATGGGCCATCACTCTCATCCAACGACTAGGACATAGCATTAGGGATAGGTGGGTAGCCCACCCAGAACACGTCCACCGGATGTTTTTGAGAGGGTGAGAGAATGTAGTGGACGTTGATGATTTAAAATGGTGATAAATTTATTCCTTAGATTCCAAGACAGAACAGTTGTGGACAGGCCCACGGGAGGCCCAAGTAAAGATTGCAAATAAAGAGACCTTACCTAGCCCCACTAATAAGCTACAATTATCATTATGCTCCCTCGACCAAAAACAATCATTATATTCAAACCATTGACTACTTTTAGGGCTTCAGGGCAATTCTTGGGATGTTGACCATTGGCTTGCTGAGGGGGAGGATAATGTATGCGTTGGGAATGAATCTCACAGAGACATGATAAGGAAGAATCTTGCATGAGTTTATAAGTAAATTGGATTGCTTTTCATATTGTCAATCAATTTTATTGTGGAATTTCAACTTTCTTCATAGGTATTAGAGGTTAACTCATAGGTGAAGCCCAACGACCATATGTGCTCTACATTGTCATCCTGTTTGTGCTGTCCACATGTTAGGCTTGAAAATTCGTCACATATGAAGATGCGAGCTGAGAATAAATCTCACATTGATGAGAGGAAAGACTTTGCATGAGCTTATAAGTAAATTGTGATACTTATATTGCTAATTAGTTTTATGATGGAACTTCAACTTTCTTCAATAGATTCCTTTAAATTCTCTTGTCTGAATGTTAATATGGATAGAGTCATTTATCTAACGTGACATTATTTCATTATGCAAATGTTATAATTGAAATCATTTCTTCTCTTTATCATCATCTAAAGACTGATTCTAGAAAAGTTCATTCAATTTGGATACCATTTAACCAGCTATCCATATGTATCAAACAAACCAATTTGAAAAACAAATAACTCATGCCGGTCGCCCTTTACAGATTTTGTATAACTGCATTATTGGTCATCCGACCATATAACGTGTTATATTAAGTTTCACAAGCATCCAATTTCATTGCAACAACTTAAATTACATTGACAGCATGTTAATTGTACTAGTTGAAAACAACCACCTTAGAAAAAAGAGCAGCATTGTGTTGTGTAGTTTGGATTCAAAGACCAAATAGGAAAAGAAAGATGCTCGCTTCCTAAATAATGTGACATCTAAAACACAATGAATTGAATGTTTAACTTCATGATCAAAGAAAACTTGACAATTTCTTGACCACAACATGAACTTTGGTTTCTGCTTAACGTCCCTCCAATAAGCAAACAGCAAAAGGTAATTATGATAATTAATCGAAGATTAGTGCTGATGGAACTGGTAAAAATCTTACTTAATCCACACTCTAAAGTTCAGCTCGACCAACAGCAAAGCGGAGCAAACAAGTAGAAACCATCTCAACAGTGAAGTTGAATGAACAATTACATTTTCGTTCCATCTCTATCCAAACTCTCCTATATTATGGTACCTCGACTCTCTCTCTCTTCACAATATTACACTCTCATTGTATCAATCTAGAGAGAGAGAGAGAGAGAGAGAGAGAGAGAAATGGGATCTTCTCACCTTCATTGTTCTACTTCAATGGCACCTTTGCTGTTTTGTTTTTGTGTCGTGGTGTCGTTGATGCCGGAGTTTGCCGCCGGCATAACAAGGCACTACACTTTTAATGTACATTTTTTCATCAAAACTTGAGGGCCTTAATATTTTTATTTAAACTACGTCATGATTTACCTTTTTTTTTTTCCCCTAAATTTAATTTAACAAGTTTGTAACTTTTTTCTTTTATTGATATATATATACAGGTTAAGTACCATAATGTGACCAGATTGTGCAACACAAGGAGCATTGTAAGTGTGAATGGCCAATTCCCAGGGCCTAGATTGGTGGCAAGGGAAGGTGACCAAGTCCTCATCAAAGTGGTCAATCATGTCTCAAACAATGTCACCATTCACTGGTACGAAATCTATCTTATTTAATTGTTTATTAACAAGGCGATATATTAAACTCCATACTTTAGTTGAATGGTTAAATGCTCTATTTACTTGAGCTACAAGTTTCTTGTATGAAATATATTTGTTCTTTTTAATAAGGTGATATATTAAACTACTCTAACCTATGAGGGAGATACAAACTCAGTTATAAAAAAACGAACGTTATTCTAACCAACTAACTCATCTCGCATTTGCATCCAAAATCTATTTATTTGAATTAGCAAATGTGGAGAGTGAAAGGATGAAGCAAAGCTACTAATTCATGTTTGCGTTTGTTTGTATGCGAGAGCAGGCATGGGGTGAGACAACTTAGAAGCGGATGGGCAGATGGTCCAGCTTACATTACCCAATGCCCTATACAAACAGGCCAGTCATACACATACAACTTTACCATCCAAGGGCAGAGAGGGACTCTCCTATGGCATGCTCACATCTCATGGCTGAGATCCACCCTCTATGGACCTATCATCATTCTCCCAATGCTCAATGAGTCTTACCCTTTTGTGAAACCCTACAAGGAGGTCCCCATTCTTCTTGGTAATTAAGTATAGCAAGCTAGCTAGAATTTGTGATAATTGTAAAAATTTAGACATTAATGTTTCTGGAAATTGTTTTGATTAGCATGGATTTGGATTTGTTGCAGGAGAGTGGTTTAATGTAGATCCTGAGGCTGTGATTAATCAGGCTCTTCAGACCGGTGCAGGGCCTAACGTTTCAAATGCGTACACCATTAACGGTCTTCCGGGCCCCTTTTACAATTGTTCCTCGAAAGGTATTGTGTTTTTGATGTACTATTATATTGTTAGACTATGAATTAGAAAGCAAGCATGTCAAACTGTTTGACAACATAACATATTATATTATAATGCATTTTTATGTGGGTGGGTGTTTTTTGCAGATGTATTCAAGCTGAAGGTGAAACCAGGGAAGACATACCTCCTCCGATTGATCAACGCTGCACTCAACGACGAGTTGTTTTTCAGCATAGCCAACCACACTCTCACTGTGGTTGAAGCCGATGCTGTCTACACCAAACCTTTCGAAACCGGCACGCTTCTCATCACCCCAGGCCAAACCACGAACGTCCTCCTCAAAACCAAGCCCAATTCTCCCAATGCCACCTTCCTCATCCTCGCAAGGCCTTACTTCACCGGCGCTGGAACCCTAGACAACACCACAACGGCTGGAATCCTCGAATACGAGCACCCGATAACCACCCATCACACTTCCATCAAAACCCTTCCTCTCTTCAAACCAAGTCTTCCACCCATCAACGCCACCAAGTTTGTCAATGTCACCCAATTCGTTCTAAACTTAGCCAATAAATTCCGTAGCTTGGCCTCCAAGAAATTCCCAGCCAACGTTCCCCAAACCGTGGACCGAAAATTTTTCTTCACCGTAGGACTTGGAACATCCCCATGTCCCCAAAACTCAACTTGCCAAGGACCCAATGGCCTAAAATTTGCAGCCTCTATTAACAATTTCTCTTTTGCCCTTCCATCAACAGCAATGCTTCAAGCACATTTTTCTGGACAGTCCAATGGAGTTTACACCACAGATTTTCCGGCCAATCCGCTTGTTAAATTTAACTATACTGGAACGCCGCCAAACGTAACAACTGTGGCAAATGCCACCAAGGCATTGGTGCTGCCATTCAACACAAGTGTGGAGCTGGTGCTGCAGGACACTAACATTCTTGGTGCCGAGAGCCACCCTCTCCATCTACATGGGTTTAATTTCTATATAGTCGGACAAGGAATTGGGAACTATGATCCTAACAAGGACCCTGCTAAGTTTAATCTGGTGGACCCCGTCGAGAGGAACACGGCTGGTGTTCCGGCTGGTGGCTGGATTGCGGTTCGTTTCATGGCAGACAATCCAGGTACGCTCAATTCACAATTCACAATTCACAGTCTAGTAATATAACATGTCGAAATACCTTAACAAGTAAATTATAACTTTTAATGGTATGTGTTCAGGGGTGTGGTTTATGCACTGTCACTTGGATATCCATACAAGTTGGGGGCTGAAGATGGCGTGGATCGTCCAGGATGGACCGCAAGCGAATCAAAAGCTGCCACCTCCCCCGTCCGATCTACCAAAGTGTTGATTTTGACTCGCCATCTGCTCGGATTTCCCTTTTTATTGAGTGATCTTGTGTTGATTTTCCTCCCTTTTGGCATTAACTTAATAGCCATAATAATTTGAGTCTTGAAAAGAATAATTACGGATTTCTCTTTCTCCGAAGAGATGCTTTTTTAATCATGTAATGTTTTTGGAGTGACAGTATTCCTTTATTCTATCGAAGAATATAAAGTTTCACATTGAAAGCGAAATTAAACACAATTTATATTGAATGGTTCGACTAACTGTATAAATCCCACTCACTAGATTGCAAGTGTGGTTGAGTCGAAGGCCGGTCATCTAATCATCTTTGTAAATATCTTATCGTTTATTGAAAAAAGAGCTGGACCTCCCTGGTGTGCCAGAACCAAAACTCTTTCGCGATTAAACCTTGTCAACATATTTATAAAATTAAAAAAGAAAAAAAGAAAGAAAAAAAAAAAACTATACAGATTTATTGCTGTGAAGCAGTGAATTCTACAGCATTAGGGAGGAAAAATACTGCTCGAATTCTTGATCGATGGTTGGCTTCCTGCTGCCGCCTGATTGAGCCTCTGCAAACACGACGATGAAAATTCTATGCCACTCAGTAAATGGTAAAAACAAAGATTAATTCCACATGTAAACGCAGATAGAAATTCCTAAAGCAGAAACTTTCAATAAAACACCTGAATTATCTTGGTTCACATTCCATCTTCCCGACGAAAGTACATATGTGTTCGGGTTCAAACCGTTCGGGTAGATGAGATCTTCGTAACCCGTGTCCGTACATTGCTCAATGCAGTCATCTCCATATTCTGCGAAAATGTAATCCACCTGCTCTCCAAATTCCTGGATGGGCTCTTGAAGATTCTGAGATTCTTGAATTTCACCATGAGGATGCATAGGTTGTTGGTCTCCGTTCGCATATTTTAGTTCATCTGCACTATGGCTGATGCCGTTCGCTGATGAAGTGGAAGGCCTATCATATTGGCATGTCTGTGCATGCACGGGTCCAAGTTTTGAATCACCATAAACCGACGTTGCAGAATCAGAATCTCCAACGAAACTGTTGCTACCTCTTCCCGATTCAAGTTCAGACCCATCATCCAGGGATGCCCCATCTATCTTTCTCTTCAGTGTCTGTTTTATCATGTTCTTTACTTCCAGGTTTTCATCAAACATGGAGATGGATTGACCAGATGGAAATACCCATTCCAAGCACCTGTTCTTAGTTATCGGCAAGCCCAATTGCTCCTCGCGAAATTTTCTTTTCTTCATCGGACATAGAACATTCATGACAGGGAAGCTGTTCATGACAGTAATACCAGAACAAGGATGAGAAAAGCTGCAATTACCAATAAAACTTTGCCAAACAAGAACAACCAACTATTTCAGGTTTCCTAGGTTTATAACAAAAAGAGGGATAAGGTCGACACGGGCCTTGTTTGGGAATGCTTCTGGAAAAAGCGCTTTCTAACAACCAAAGCGTTACCCCCTGGCCCCCTACATTTGACTGAAAAACTTAACAGTGCTTCAGGATTATAGAAGCACTTAATGGAGAAACACCGGCAAGGGTTTCTTACATGATCTACTAAAAGCACTTCTAGCAAAAGCACTTATGAGCATATGTGCTTCCAAAGAAGAAGTACCAAACAGGTCTTCCATTTGAGTCTCATCTAAAACAAAGTGGAACTTAGTCAAATCACCAAAAATTTAAGCATATGAAACTGATCAACATCAAGAACAAATATGCATATCGGACAGAAACGCAATTAATATATCACAACAACGAAATAAAGAAAAAGAAAACCCGAATATATTTAAATCCACAGAACTGAAAGGTATAAAAGTACTCAACTGAAGCAAACAAAAACAGCGAAAACATAAATAAACTAAATTCAGAATCAATCAGACTTTTACGGTCATTCAAACACCACTTAGCCCAACTTCCCCAGTGGAAATTAAGAATTGACCACTCTAAAAGGCGTCGCGAAGTTGGCTAGAACAATTTGCTCTCCTGGTCACCAAGTTCGAGTCTTTCTTCTCGTAGTTTGGATTAGATTAATTAGAATATCGCTTGAATAAAAAAAATAAAAAAAATCAATATTGAACATGAATCATGGAGCAACTGAGGCCAGGGAAGCAACAGTTGGGGATCCAGTTCATCTCTACCTCGTAATTGCTTCCTATAAAGCCAAATAATTATCCCAAAAATGATAAGTAATTAATAACACGTTCTAAACTTGGCTACATCCAGATGAACTCAGCAGTAACAATTAAGCAGCTCATCAAATTTAGCTACTTGATTAAGCCAGACAATTAACAAACAAATATTGATCTGAAAAATGATTAAAAAAGGATTAAGTCAAGCCAAAAAAAAAAACCCAGAAATTAAAACCTGTGGATCTCAGAAGGGTTCTCTTTGAATCCTTCCATCTCCATGTCGATCCAGAGAAACGAACTCGACGAGTTACCCAACTCAGCTCAACTCAGTGAGACAAGAAAAATGACAGACACTGCTTCGAGGATTTCTACCTACAATGGATACGGGAGAGATATGGATAAGGTATTTTAATCAAAATGATCCCGATATTTAGATAACCCCTTCATTTGATACATAAGACTTGAAATTAATATAAGTAATTTTTTAGTTTGTCTAAGATCAATTATTTTATTTATTTTATAAAATAATTTTATTAAATAAGGTTAAAATGATAAAAATATTCTTAATTTTTGTCAAATTATTTGGTCAATTGTTTATTAAATTGATGATTTTTTTGTAATTTTGATCATTATTTAACATAATTTTTCATGAAATAATTAAAATTATTGATAAAATTTGAAATCACTTCTACTGATTTTAAATGTCAAAAATCAAAATGAAGAGTTATAATTTTTTATTATAAAGCATATTCCTCTCTCTCTCTCTTTTTTTACAGCAGAAACTTTAAACGGTTAGAAGGTAGCGCGTGTAATCCAGGCAGGGAGATTTACTCTTGCGCGTGTTCCATTTTGCATGGGATTCGCGTGGTGGATGCTGAGCCGGATAGAGCCAATGCGAGACCACGTGGTTTGGCGCGAACATCCTTGCTTCAGTTAGCCTCATTATTTACGCACTATTTACACAAACGCACCAACTTTTTAATCAAATCGTACCACCACTTGCAGCAATGCTGATAACAACCTTCGTATTTGTCACGACTTCACTAGCACTAAAAATTAAAATGTTAATTATATTAAAGCGGAAGGTGCGGTAGCGGAAGGGCAAAACAATCATGATTATACTTTATAGTAATTATATTTATCGATTTTTTTCTTCCTAACCATTAATAATATGACCTACTAACACTTACTTTTCCAAAAAATATATCTATATTAAAATCTCACTATTTTTTTTATTTCTTTATCTAAATTACGTATTAATGAAACTTTCTTTGTTAATTAAAAGAAGATGAAAATATATTTTTGTCTTCAATCACAACAAAAAAGTTAAGGACAGTAACGTAATTTCATAAAACAAAATTTTGTTATTTTTTGTTTAAATCTCGCCCACATATGATTTTATCATTTCTAATTTAATAAATAAATAAATAACAAAAAAAAATCCTCTCTACCTCCCTGCTCCCGTGTTCTCTCTCACAATCTCACTCTCTTCCTTCCTCTTTTAATTTAAAAAACGTAAGTACAAAGTTTCACACACACTTTATGTGTGGGCATGTAGTAGTTAGTATAATTAAAATTGTAATTTGTAATTAAAAAAATATTAAATTTTAGTATTGTGCCTTAATGGAATACATGTGACATGAGTAGAAATAAAAAAAGGTAAGTCAGTAAATGAGAAGATTGCTAGCATTTCCTAAAGACCTTTGCATGTACCTAACACAAAACTGGGCATGACGTCAATGTTAATTAGACTAATTGCTACATATAGTGTAACGACTCGTCCCCAAATATTATGAATTTTATAATTTCAAAATGTCAAATTATGAAAATGCCCTTCGAGGCAAATGCATTGACTTTTGTTGTTCACCTTGTCATGTCATGTAATATTCGTTTTATTGGCGTATTCTTGTAGTACTTAGCATTACGGACGTGTGGGCGCAAGCAGAACGTAATTTGGAGTTATAACGAAAGAGTTATTAATGAATGAAGTTAAGGGCAAAATGGTCATTTGACCATAAATTTGGAAGGCTCCAGATTTTGTTGGACCATCAATTTGGTGCCACATGTGTGGTTGTGATGGAAAGAATAGGAGAGAAATGAGGGGGGTTTGCTACCTAATCGGGAAGGAGGTGTTGGATGTTGACCAATCAAAAGATAGAGCAAGGATGGGAAATGAGGGATGAGATGATAGAAGGAGGGGAACCCGGTCCCTTCCCTTTGACCCTATTCGTACGCATACCCCGACACCTTTCACGGCGTATCTCTGGAGAAATTCGTCGAACCACCACCCAAATTTAACACCACGACCTTCCTTCTTCACATTTCACCCCTAAATCAAAAGAATTGGGCCCTAATTCATGAAGGCGGCGATTCGCCGTTTCTACAATCATCACCGTCGACCATCACCATGGTTCGACTTCCCTGGAGGCCAAGAACAAATGCCAAACAAGTTTGGGGGCGGTGGAGCATCTGAGGAGACGAATCGATAACTACCCATTTCTAGGGTTTCGATGGTTTATGGTGATTTTCAGGCCACTTCCCGGCCGAATTAGACTTCAACCCAGGTATGAAAGTTGTTCCTCTCATTGAGATCTTCATTCCTCTAAAATTTGCAAATTTTTGGAGTTGTTGAATTTTCCAATGAGTTGGGGGTGTCGACTGCCACGTGCGGTGGCATATGGCCTTCTAGGCGGCCACCTCATGGCGGCTCGTGCGGTGGTGCATAGGGGAAAACCCGAGGTCCCTTCTTAGATTTTTCGACGTGAAAAATCTGAATTCGTCGTCCGTTTTCCCAAATTCTATCATTTAGGTTTTACTAAATGGTTCCTAATTGTGGTTAGGTGCATGAATAGAAAGTGACTCCATCCTCGCTAGCTCCAGTGGTTCCCCGGGTAACAAAATATCTATGAGTGGACCCTTTCTAAACTTGCATGTTTTTATAAAATATTAGGTTTGCTTGCATTGCATATTACATGAATGGAGCATGATTTATAATATGTTTTATAGATTTTCATACTTATGATTTAATTAAATTGCTTTTATGGGATATTTATGATTTATCGAATTTATGTTTTATAAAATGATATGAATTATTGGGTTCTCGTATATGAAATTCTATGGCTTTTGAATATGATTTTATTTTATGGATTTATGAATGTACGATGTCATGGGTTTATGAAATGAGGCTTTAAGCTTGTGAGCTCCAGATTTGATATAAGTTTTTGAGGTATGTTTTCAATACTTATCTAGTGGGTTATCATACATCACATCCACACAACACGGATATGTAGACGTCTATGGCCATATGACACAATTGGGGATATCTATGTATATATTTATTCTTAGGTGTAACTTGGAGTCATACAACTTCACCTTCGGGTGATGGGGCCTACCATGTTTCTTCACTCATGTAACTAGTGTCATACAACTTCACCTTCAGGTGATGGACAGGTACTACCTTCGAGTGAATAAGGAGTGAGATATTTATGACATACCCCCAACTTCACTTGGAAAACCAGTGTCGAACAGCTTCACTAGCCATGACTAGTGTCGGTATGTGATGTATATATTTTCTTCTCCGACGTAACTTGGAGTCATATAGCTTCACCTTCGAGTGATGGGGCCTACCATGTTTCTTTACTGGCGTAACCCAGTGTCATACAACTTCACATTTGGGTGATGGACAGGTACTGCATTCGGGCGATTATGATACCCCTAGAGAGTACAATATGGATGAGATTTACGGATTTGCCTTCACTACCATCTCTGAGCATTGTTTTATGCATACATGTTTTACAAATGATTTCATGGTAGCTAGAGTTTTCAGAAAATTTACTATACGTAGTACTATATGGATTTTCAAAACAGGGGGTTAGTATGTTAAAAAAGAAAATGATTTTCTTATTAGTAATTATTATTATAAGTTAGGGTCCACTCACGTTTTTTGTTTTAGGCCCCCTCAGAAGTTAGATTCAAGGCACACAATCCCAACGTCAGGGTACGTTCACATAGGTATATTCAAGTCTTCTCAGTGATGACCATTCCCTTCGTTCATACCTTTTTATTATAATTCTTTCATATTATTCTTAATTAGTTGTAAACTCTGAACACGTTCCTGCATCATCATTTTCGTTCTAATTACATATTTTCTTTATAGGCACGTTTAAAATGGCTTCGTTACCCTCGGGTGTTGGCCAGCACGTGCCCATCCTAGTATTAGGGGAATATCGGGATCGAAGCATGTCATATAAACCGTCAATTTTATTTTTTTTCAACAATTAAATTATTTATTTTTCATCTCAACTTATTCATTTTCTATATTATTCAATGATATATACCATAAGAAAAATTACACAAAAATTTCGTTTATGATTTTTTTTTCTTATTGAAGCTTTTATTTGCAAGAGCTTTTAACACACCCCGACCGAGATCAGGACATGCTGGCCGTCACATGAAAGCGACGTAACCATGTGCATAGTGCTTCGGAAGCTAATAAATAATAATAAAAGTACGAATAAATAAAAACCAACTCTACACAAAGTAAGAACATACATGTGCAAGCGTAAGTGTGAAAAACAAAGTTCAGAGCACGAAGACCTAATGCAGTCCGGGAGAAACAACACTACATAAACACACCCAAAGGTGGTCCTACATTGGTGATAATCTGTCAGATATGCCAGGAAAAATCCTCTGGGGAACCACCACAAGTGCTAGCCAACTAGAACCTGGAGGAGCGCAAAACAAAAAGCGTGAGTGGGCAAAAACAAAGCTTTTCAAAAACCATTTCATAAACAAAGTTCTAACCCCTCGCCGTAAAACCTGTATACTTCCCAGAAAATAGAATGTACATATATATAAGTCATGCTCGGAAATATGCCATGTCAAATGCCTTTAAATAGGATGCAAGTGCTCAGGAAATGTCAAATCAATGCCATGTAATCTGTCAGCCAGAGTCACCTAACGTGACCTGTACGGCTGAATCTAGAGCTTAAATCTCCATCTCACTACCTATACCTGCACACGAGTTGGAACCACCTAAAGTGTTCTGTATGACAGGACTGGTGTAATATAAGTACCCTCAAGTGCTACGATCACGTGAAGGCTGGGCGAATAATTATGGGTCACCTACGAGTCGGAACCACCTAAAGTGGTCTCCACGACAGGACTGAGCACCTAACTTGGATCCAAGATGAGCGTGTGGTGTGGGAGGTGAACATCATGTGAAGGATTGTGCCCAACTCTGGGTGGGAGCACTAACACCGGGGGTGCAGGTTATGAGCTCTTTATGCATCTCAAATCACTACTGGACCTAAACATAAACCATAACTTACCTGGCACTTACCTGTGCGTCCGCAGCACCAACACACACATATATATGCAACTAATAATGCATAATTGAATGGGCAAACAATATGCATGGCATATAAACGTATAAACGTTTCATTTCACTTTCTGGGAAAAACATAAGTATATAGGTATATACGAAAAACCAAAAGCCCACTCACTGGTATGTAGAAGGGTCGTAACCCCCTTACCTCGAGTGACCACGCTCGTCCCCGGGATAAGTCTCGCCTATATGCGAAACAACTATAAAAACGATAATTTTAAAGCACATAACCAACCTTACGAAATAACTTCTCATACAAAGCTCAAATGGGGTATATGAATACACCAACGTGATCTACTCAACCTTAGGAACATCCCCATATTTTTAGAAAAATTTTCCAGCGCCGCACGCGCCGGCCAAGGCACGGCCACACGCGCCGCCTACACGCAGGCACGTGCCTGGCACATTGACGGCGTCAGTTAACGCCGTCAGGAATATTTCGTTAACTCTGACGGAATCCGTTAACGTCGTTAGGAATATTCCGTCATCTTCTCCGCCCAAACTCCGGCGCCGTCGCCGACGCCAGTAAACCGGGAAATTTTCAAAACCTTGTATCTTCTTCGTTTTTCAACCAAATTTCACAAAATTGGTACCAAAATGAAGCTTACAACAAGAGGAACAAATCCATACCACTTTCAAGCACTAAAACCCACGGAATCTCGCCGGAAAACACCACCAACTCCGCCCACACTTGTAACTCACGATCCTGACGTCCAAAACCTTCAAACGAACCACCCCGAGCCTCCTAAGGACCTCACCAAGCTTCCTACAAGCTTGAAATTCCCAAAAACACAAGAATTAACATGTGCATGAACAGTGACCAAATCGGGGGATCCCGAGTTCGACGTGAAAACAAAGGTATCCTTACCTGAAATGGGTATGGTTGAACTCCTAAGGACCTCACGAGCACGAATATGTAATTTGTTTCCTCGATCTGTGAAGGTTTCAAGGGTTTTGGTTGTCGTCCGTACAAATGGAGATAGGAAAGGGAGAGATAGAGAGGGAAAGGGACAGGGAAGGGGTGAAGGAGTGTGGGAGTGTGTGTGTGGTCCACAATCAGCCAAACAAAACCCAAAAACAACCACACAACGAAACAAACATAGTAGGGGCAAAACCGTCATTTCACCCCTACGGTACGAAAAATCAGGGACGGGCTGTCACAGCTTTTTCTATAGAGGCAAAAACACAGAATACATTCATATAACTCCACTAGTTTTGAATCATTTCAAGGAGATACAAAAACCCAAACTCCAACAAACCTAGCACAAAACAAGCAAACCCAAATTTTAAAATTCTAGTTGCGCTTCCAATAGACTTGTTACTTAACCAAGCCAGAACTATAATTGACACCATCTATAAAAACTTCAAACTAAGTTTACATCCGTAAAATTATTTTTTGCAAGATTAGTCTCAAAATACTAGCATTTCTGGAAGATTAATTTCAAAATTTTCCACTCTTTTGCATATCAATTTCAAAAATCCAACAATTCTGCAAGATCATTTTCAAAATTTTTAGTACTTCTACAAAATCAGTTTCCAAATTCTAGCATTTCTACAAAATTAGTTTAAAAATTCCAAGAATTTTGCTAGAAGTTTCAAAATTCTAGCATTTTTACAAGATCAATTTCAAAATTTATATACCCAAATCATGAAAACCTCAAAAATTGAATAATTTCAAAAAAAAAAAAAAAAAAAAAATATATATATATATATAAATCACATGTTCCAGCTGTTCTCATAAAAGAAATAAAAAACACTAGCAAACCTAGAAAATAGAGAAGAGAGAAAAGTACGAATAAGAAATAGGAGAGAGAGGCAGGAAGAAGGACAGAGAATGTGAGAGAGGTAGGAAAAACGAGGAGAGAGATAATTACCGAAGAAGAAAAAGGAGAGAGATCCATCTTTTTCTAGAAAAATTAAATTTGTAAATTAAATTATGTGTCACTAATAGAAAATGAACACGTTTATTAACGTTTAAATAATAATTCACTCATCAATTTTCATGTCATTTGGTTTATCAAATTTAATCTCTCTAACATTACTCCTAACATAATAGGTAATATTACAAATGCAAAGACAATTATTAAAACAGCCATGACATCACCTACCGCATGAATAAGGTTTGTCCCTTTATACAATAAATAAAAAAACCGTTCTCTCTCCAGACAAGAAATCTATCCAATCCCTTCAAGTTGATCACAATTTTTTCTTTTCGTTCCTTTAACATACCTTGCATATAGCGGATTATCCATCATCATCCATTCTAGACACCAAACGAGGCCATAAATGCAACTTTGAAATTGAAAAATCCTAGCAGTTTCAGTTAATAACCACAATTTCTCTTATTTCTTCAACGTTACAAAGGATTACAACTCTTCCAAGTTACACAAACACCCCGCTGTCTCCTCTACAAAAGGTGCCCTTGGCTGGTAAAAGCTGGGATGCTGATTCCCCCTCTCTGTACAAAACCCTATCAACTGAGACCATGCTGTATAACTGTAAAACTATGGTTCAAAGTAACTACCTGACAACAAGCGAAAAAAACGAACCCACACATCCTCAGCCTAGTTTTTCTCAGAGACCGATTAGTTTTGGCTATTGACAAGGACCTACAATCAATTGTTTCCCCTAAAATCGCCTCGTAGAAACAACCATGAAATCCAACCACACAGTTAAGTCTTCTTCTCACCAATGCCAACCAAGATGATGAACAGGGGAAAAATTCATTCCAACGCCGATGCTCAGGAAGGGTAATCATAAGCTGTACGAAAGTGAAGTCCGGATCCTATGTGTCCCGATGTGGGGAGTGCCCAACAGCAGATATTTGGACCCAGTACCTACAGCAGTCAAATATGACTTGAATGTAATCGATTTGTATAACAAAGTAAAAAAATCCAAATTCTACCATAAGACTGAAAAAGTAGATTCAGATTGCACTGTTGGTACTTCAAATTTTTTTGGTCACACTTCTGGCCTAGTAGATAATGATTCTAGTCTCTAGCTTTTAGGTTCAACAGAGTAGAGAAGCTATATAGGCTAAATATGATCCAAGTTGTCACTACAGAAACTAAAACTTTAAACCACAAAAACAACATTAATGAAGAGTCTGCATAGGTTTAACCACGAAATAAAAGTAAGCGGGAAAATACCGTTGTTAAATTTTCATAGGCACCGAGATCATATGGATGGGAATAGATTTGCCCTCCTTTCTCTGCAAGCCACATGGCTCTCACTCCTTCATAGTACTGCCAGAAAGAAGGAAAACAAAGTGCTATGAAATAGCGGTCCAGATATCTAAATCAGGTTTGCCACTAAAAAGAGAACAATGATATACAATTTGTTAATTCCTAATAACCTCAATCGTGGTCTTGTTTTGCAAAATGAGGTAGATATGCCAACCTAAAAGAACACTCAGTGCCACACATAAGGGAACTAGCAACAGCCCAGAAATGACCTGAAAATTGAAAAGAGAAAAATGATTAGCAAGCTGTCTCGTATCCAAGGCTCAAACATAAACCCAGCATGTAACCTTACATATGCAGTTCGAAAAGAGTCGCCAGTTTCCTGGTCATCTTTTTCAGGATCATAAGTTAGGCTACCCAAGAGCAAAACCTGAAAGTTTTAACCGTAGATCCAATGTTAAACATGATGAAATAAACAATGTGAGGTTAAACCCACCCCCTCCCCCTTAATGTAGTTAATATCGTTTATTAAAAAAAAAAAAAAAAAAACATGATGAAATAAACAAAAGAAAGGAAAGAAAATAATATCTTAAGCATTCACTATCTTTTCACTACAACAAGATTCACCCTCTATGGCTGCAAAGCTAACGTATAATAAAAAAGAAAGAGGCATATTGTCTATGCAAGAAAGGAAAGAAAATTCCCAGCAGTCAATGCAAGCAATTACAGCAGTCAGGAAAAAAAATGCCAATGTCCAGTTGGATTTAATAACATAATTACTTACCAGGGAATAGAGGCATGCTATTGCAGCATAAACAACGAAGATGAAGAAGACCTTATAGTTTGCATGGCCGACACAATTATTAATCCATATGCAATGATGATCCTTTACAACCAAGAGGCAGCACGTTAACACATTATCGAGGACATACAAGGCATCAAAGGATAACATAGATAAAGCATACCATTCGCAATACACATCGTTTGCATACACGACAATGATGTGCACGAGCTGGCTTATAGTGAGAACACTTTTGGCAATATCTTAAATCGCCTCCCTGCAAAACCATTCACCAAAAGTCATCTAAGATGCAAAGACTCCACTTTCTATAATCTATACTGCTGCAAGTAAAAACTACATGTATCTAAGCACTTTTGCAATCTACGTTTAATTTTCTTTTCTAAGTAACAACATTAATAACAACTTTCGATAACCAACTGAGATGAACCTTTATCCAACAAAATAGAAAGTAGGCAACAAAATTCCCAGGATCTTTCCACAAGATACAGAACGTAACCTTAAAATCTTAGGGAGTGAAATGCAAGGACAGTAAATTCTTATTAAAACATAATGCAATAATACTAATTTTTTTTAGAAAATTAGGAAAACCACCCTAACAACCAAAAGTTCTATAAGAAAACACTTCAAGAGCTCAACTGTAGGGGGAAAAAAACCGAACTATCACTTGTCATGTTCTAATTGGTTCCTAGTTGTGGTGCCCTTCTTTCATTGCAAAGCAAGGATGTTTTTTCTAAAATATTAGGTTTGAGGTGGTGTTCTCTAAACTGTAATCTTATCAAGAGCTTTTATGTGAAATTCCCTTTATTATACCCAGAGGCCTATCTCCACCTCAACCCACCCCATCCCGTGTCACCTTCACTAATGCCTAAGGGCCTCGTTAGGTAATATAATTAATGGCACTTCTTTATATTCGCAATGAACATTAGAAACCACGACATGGATGCACTGCAATCTACAGTATACCAATTTCCAAACTTTCAAAATCCAAAACTCACACAGTCCACCCTCGAGAACAAAGGGTGACACAAAGCGTGGAGCATACACGCCAAAGCTATCTACTTGCTCATAATCTACAAGTTCCTTGGCATATCGGGCAGCTTCATTACAAGTTTAAAAGTTCAAACTTTTTTACTGTTTCAGGAACAACGGTTCATCCACTGTATATCAAAAATAGATCTTTCCTTTTAAATCCATCTTAATTGTTTTGATTCTATTGCGAAACCAAATATACGTAACCAATGGTTACAAATTTTACTAATCCAGGATACAAAGTGACTCGAGGACGTTACACAAATTGCCTACTACAGTCTACAAATATGTTATTTTGCTGATTTCCCGACCACTCGAAATCAGCTCACATAAATTAAGCACCAATGCAGAACCTAAATTCTTATATTATTATCTCCTCCGTAGTTTCTACAATGTCTAACAAGTTAATCCAAACTAAAGCACCCTGCTTTCTATTTCTGGCCAAAGAAGAAAAAACCCCTGATTTCCCAATCCATATTATTAACATAATTAATCAAATTCAATTAACAAATTCGAAATATATGCAGAAAATTGGCGTCACCAAAATCACAAAATTCCAATTTTACAGAAATGAACAAGAGAAATTGGTTCCGCACAAACACGACGCAGTTTTGAGATTGGAAAAGGCACGAATTCGATACCTTGCGCTTGATCTCGTGGATAGGGTTACCCGAATCTTCGACGTCGGGCATGTACGTGGATGGAACCCGACCCGGATCCCTGAAGACGGAGACGAAGTAATTGAACACGCACATGACGGCCACGCCAGTGAAAACGACGGCGTTCATCAAACCTGGCGACGACATGAGACCGAACCAGCGGTCAATGAAAATGAAGACTGTGGAGAAGTAAATGTATGCGATTGCCAAAACGACGACGGTCACGGGTAGAGAGAAGCCGAGGCTTCGCGTCATTGTGTCTGGAACGTTCTCCGGGGGTGGCGGAGGCACCGGCGTCAAAACGACGGCGTCTCCCGGGGAGAAGGGGTGTGTCGTTTCAGCTGGCAGGATGCGAGGATTTGGATGTTGGTGACTCGGTGACCGGGTTTTGCAAATCCGAAGATAGTGCCGGTCGTTTCTGATTTTACGGTATTACCCTTCATATTGTACCTTTCTTACAAATGAGACCTTGTTTAATATGGAATTGGATCATAGGATCAATTGTTTTTCTTTTTTAGGTATATAAATGTTAAACAAACAAACAAACACCAAGGGACCACACAGACGAGCCATTACCAAACCCAAAGGGGGATGGTTAAGCAACAAACTGAAAATTACACCACTAACAATGTTACTTATACAGAAATTTACTGATTTATTCTTGTTAAAACACATGCATTTATTTAAGAGTACAATACTATGTCCATACAAATATCAATTATATCTTCACCTATAATAAAAATATGTGAATTAGTAATAACAAGCAGCAGTACGACCATTTGACTCAAAAAATCTCACAATAATTGGTCAGTCTCGCATAATACTCATGTATTTGCACCAAAATATTAGTACTCAATAAACAAAATCAAAACACTGCATGAATCAAACAAATGTAGATGAGTGCTTCCACTCGTCACCCGCATGCACGTGAGTAATTTTAGACCGTAAATACATGTGAATCTCATAATATAAGGCTCATATGCATCAACAATCGAAAGTCAATTAATGTGAGTTCCTACCATTATTCAATAGAAATCGAACCAATATTTCAGTATTTAACTAATGTGTTGGAGGTGCATGAATGAAGTAGAAACTTGAGCTGAAACCAGTCCATAATTGAGACAGACATTGCTTAAAAAAGAAATATTGATATTCTATTACATTTGAATATTACAACTTTTGAAAGGCATTACAAATCAAAACCCAACCCAAATCTTTCACAGGGAAGGAAAAAGGAAACTACTATGTACTAAAGCATAACCTAAAAGCCTGAAAACTCTTTTCCACTACGATCCCTTTTCTGGGGAGCAACTGGACACAAAGAATGAAATGAAAACACAAGAAATCTATGAGCAAAACGTGAAATTAACACTTGGGAAGATCGGACGGTGGAGGAGGCAGCTTTTGGTTGCGTCTCTTTCCATCCAAGACCACCCAAGCCATCTTCAACCCCCAGCTGGTGTGCACTTCTAGGTGGCAATGCATGAACCAAACACCTATTTGCATCACCATATACAAAAGAAGAGACAAATCAGATTGCATAACCCTAATTCCATGCCAACTTTCTTCCCAAGTTTAAAGATACTTGATATTTGTTGGAACAAATTATCAATCATAGGATTAATCAGATTGCATAACCTTAATGTGACGGCTAATCATTTTGCCACGTTAGCACATTATTTAAACCTTTATGAACTCAAGTGACCAACTTAATAACCTTGTCAACAACAAAAAAAAAAAAAAATGATAAGATAAATAGGTTATGATGATACTGTGTCAATTTTATAGTGATGATAATTTATTCTATTTGCTCGAGATTTATAGTCTAACAACATAATGTGTTAGTTAATTGATAAAAAAAGATTACCTGGATTATCAGCGAGGAATCGAATGGCAACCCAGCCACCAGAGGGGACACCGATGGTGTTCCTCTCTGCAGGATCAACCAGGTTGTATTTTTTAGGGTCATTTTTTGGATCAAAGTTTCCAGAGCCCAATCCCAGCACAAAGAAATTAAACCCATGTAGGTGAAGCGGGTGGCTCTCAGCCCCAATAATGCTAGTGTCCTGCAAAACCAACTCCACACTAGTGTTGAAAGGCAGCACCACCACCTTCGTCCCACTGCTCACGGCAATGTTGTTGGGTGGACTCCCTGTGTAGTTGAATTTGACTGCTGGGTTTGCTGGGAAATCTGTGGTGTACACGCCTTTTGGTTGGTTGAAGAAATGAGCTTGCAGAAGAGCTGTATTGGGTTGGACAAATGTCACATTGTTAATGGCTGCGGCTAACCTAGTATTATTTGGGCCTTGGCATGTTTGTTTTTTTGAGCATGGGAGTATTCCCAACCCAACAGTGAAGAAGAAGCGCTTTTCCACAGTTTTTGGGACATTTGCCGCTGGGAATTTGGGACTAGCCAAGCTGAGAATTTTCTTGTTGTATTTCATGGAAAATAATGTGTCATTGAGCTTTGGAAGTACTGGTGTGAAAAGCTGTTTTTTATTGTTCTTGCTGTTGCTTGAGGAAGAAGAAATTTCATATTCCAGTAATCCTGTGGTTGTGGAGTTGTCGAAAGCAGCTGGGCCGGACACATATGGGCGAGCTGCCATGACAAATTTTGCATTTGGGGACTTAGGTTTTGTCAGCAGAAGCACATTTGTGGTCTGTCCTGGTGTGATCAGAACAGTTTGGGTTTTGAATGGCTTCACATAAACTGCATCTGCTTCGACTACAGTTAGGGTATGGTTGGCAATGCTGAAAAAAAGCTCGTTGTTGAGTGCAGCATTGATCAACCGCAGCAGATACGTCCTCCCCGGCTTCACCTTGAGCTTGTATGTATCTGCTTCAAATATATGATACATTGTATACTGTATAATCCACAAGATTAATGCTCTAATTATGCATAAGGAATTGTTGATTACTTACCTTTGGTTGAGCAGTTGTACAGCGGGCCTGGAAGACCATTGATGGTATAGGCATCAGAGACATTTGGTCCCAAACCTGTTTGTAAGGCTTGGTTGATTACTTTTTCTGTGTCTGCTTTCCACCATTCACCTGCATTTCAATACAAATTTCTTGGTTCAGAAATTTTTTGTGTAGGACATTGAAGAGTACGTAGTGTGCATTGATACTGTCAAAAATGTATTGATAACATGTTGATACCTTTCATTGGCAACAATGTTATCGACAGATTTTTGCTGGCGTAATGACAATTTATAGTTAATTGATAAATTATATAATGTTCATTAATTACCAAAAATGATGGGAACTTCTTGGAAGGGTTGGGGGAAAGGGTAAGGCACATGTCTTTTAGGGAGGATGACTATAGGTCCATAGACAGTTGCCCTAAGCCAGGAGATGTGGGCATGCCAAAACAATGTGCCTCTTTGGCCTGTAATAGTGAAGTTGTAGACATAACTTTGTCCTGTTTGAATTGGGCACTGTGTGATATATGCAGGTCCATCTGCCCATCCACTCCTCAATTGCCTGATCCCATGCCTGCAAATTTCTCCAAATTTCAAGCATTATTATTTGAATTTTGAAAAATATTATGCAAAACTACCAAAGGTAATAAGTTCACAAGACAAGAATTTCGTACCAATGGAGTGTGACATTGTGCTGAACATTATTCACCACCTTGATCACAAGCCTGTCACCTTCCCTTGCGATGATCCGAGGCCCCGGAAACTGCCCGTTGACAGTCACAATGCTCTTGGTTTGACAAAGCCTTGTGACACTTTGTGACTTGATCTGTGCAACGTAATAAACAGAGAAATGATTAAGTAATGGGTATTATTAAATATTATATAAATAGAACCGGTTTCAAACTTTTTAACAAACAATAAAACTAAGACACTAAACTTGAAATAAATGTATATAACCCACGGTTTAGTGGCACTTTATTGTTGTTCATAAGTATCCATACAGTTCAATTGGAAAATGAAATGCAATACATACATTAAAGTTGTAATGCCTGGTAACCCTAGCATGCTTTGCAAGTGCAGGCTCAGAAAACACACATATAAATGCACAAACTGCAAAGAAGATTGCCATTGAACTTGAACCCATCTCTCTGATCTCAATGATCACTCAATCTGCTGAAATTTTCAATTGCTGATGACTTTGAGTTGTAAGGATGCAAGAAAGATTAGGATAATGAGGCATTTTATAAGGACTTTTTTTAATCAATTAGGTAATAAAAAAAAAAAAATCAGTGAGATTTCATTGCAGATACCTTCAGCAACAAATTACATGTTTAAAATCAGACCAGACTACGAGTAGAGCTGCTGGTCAAGTTTTACTTTAGAGTGCTGGTCAAGCCAGATAATTATGTTTATTAATTAATTAATTGTCTCCCTAACGGTCTCAATTGGTGTTACTGAAATGCCCCTTGCAGTTTACATTATAGTATTCGTTTATCAGCACTTTACATGGGTATTTAAGTCAAGTTAAAATTTGACTGTCGTTTTTGGTAGAATATAAAATAATGGATGGATTTGAGAAAATGGGGCGTAAGTGGCATATTTGCTTGGTAGATTTCAACCTCCTACCGTTGATGCTTACCGATCAAGGCAAGAGTAGAGAAGGAAGGTGTTAACCAAAACCATCTTGTTGGCTGTCGTTTGTTATATACTTATCACTAATGTACAATCCTAACAGCTTTGATGTTAATGGACTTTGTTATGCTCTTTACCCTTTCAAGTTTCAATGGCTCATTTTAGAAAATCCACATCTGATTGGCCACCAAGCCGACAGAAGGAGATTGAAGGTGAGTTTGTTATGAGTATTTACCCGTTGCACCTGAAGTCTCGAGTTGAGTTTATCCCTTCCCAATTATCGCTTGTATAAGAAAAATACTGAAAGTTTACTACTCATTCATATGGTTATTATGATTGAACGAGTGTGGTTAGCAACTTGGCATAAACGGGTGATGGGATGAGTTTGACCAACACCTGATGGGATGACTATGATTCGTGTGCGCTCGATGTTTGTAAGAAATTTCAAGAAAGATGAGCGTAATTTTTCTCTTTCTATTAGGGTTGGAATTCAAGCTGATTGGATGATCAATTCCATCCTAACTTATAATTTATCCTTCAGATTTGAATTTGGGGTTTGGTATCATTAATTTGGAAAAAGAACATAAATCCAGCCCAACCCAAGGTGCAAGAGTAGAGCCAAGAAGTTATACATTGGTGGACTATAATTTTTGGTTTTTTTATTTCATCTATCATGCGAGTGAGGTGGGATAATTTTCACCAGATGGATAACCTTCATAAGACTTAGGATAAGAAAAATCAATTACTTAAGTTTTGTATGGGGCACTGTAGCCCACTATAACCTAAGGACTTACATGTAATGGGTTCAAATGCCATGTGGCATTTTCATTAAACCACTACAATGCCTCGAGGCACAGCCAGTACAAGAGAAGTCAAGCAATAAAGCTTGCCTAACAGGGGCAAGACAAGAATGAAATCAAACATAACCAGAATCAATAGAATGCCCATAGTTGACAGGACCATCAACAATGAAGTTTGCCTCTCCAAAAGTGGATAAATCGGGTGTTAAAAAAAGGTAAATTGTGGTTTGATCCCTTAAACTATTACCTCAGTTCAAATTGACCTTCTAAACTATTTTTTTTGGGTAAATTAACCCTTTGAACTATTTAAAACTATTCAATTAACCCCTTGATGTTAGATTGCGGAATCAATTCCATCAATTTCAAGGGCAAATTAGTCATTGCATCATTAATTATTACTTGTCAGCTATAACCACTGATAAAATTTTGATCATGGGCACAAAATAATTCAAAATTATATATAGCATAATGAGAAAACATAAAAAACCAAGCGTTTACATAACAGACCATGTCACATTGTCATTACACATTATTTTGTTTTCACATGTTATGATTACATTGTTGGTTATAGTTGATAAGTAAGAATTGATGAAGGAAAGACTAATTTTCCTTTGAATTTGACGAAATAGTTGATGAAATCTACTGACAAGGGGTCAATTGGTTTATTCAAATAGTTCAGGGGGTCAATTTCAACTGGAGCAATTATTCAAAGGGTCAAATGACAATTCACCCGCTAAAAAATTGGGAAGCTAAGAGGTGAATGTCTCAAATAATAGTCTTGAGGAAGCCAAGAGATGATGAAGAAAGTTGAGATTCCACCATAAAACCAATTGGTAATATATGGAGTAGCCCAACTACTTATAAGTACAGGCATATGCCCTTCTTTACCCCAATAGGTGATGTTTGAATTCAAACGATATGACACATCTTAGTGGCTTCTAAATCATGGGCAAAGCTACATGGGGACAAGGAAGGGCTGACACGCCCCGATCCCGATATCTCTCAATGACCCGGATGGGCATGTGCTGGCCGACACCTTCGTTACCCTCGGGTGTTGGCCAGCACGTGCCCATCCAAGTAATTGAGGGATATTGGGATCGGGTCGTGTCAAGAGCGGCCGCCCCCTTGGTCGTCGAAAATTGCCATTGAGAGTAAGGATTTCACCCTTATGGTCCTCTGAATTGCTACTAAAATCTGATGTCCTACTTTGTTGTTTATGTGTTTTATGCTTAGGTAATTCTTTTGTGTTTTATTTTTTCTAAAATAGCCAGGTCAAAACGGGGTCATTTAGTTCTGGGATAAAAAAAAAACATAGAACGACATCGTTACGGAGGGCTACGGTAAGGTTGTCATTATTCAATAGTATGTTAAGTTGTTTGATAATATGGAGGAATTGGGTGTGAAGACAAGTTTCAAATCCTATGACGCTCTATTTAAGGCCATATGCGCCATAGTTGGTATATAACAGCCAAGAGGTATTTTAATGCAATGTTGAGTGAGGGAATAGAGCCCAGTAGGCATACTCATAAATTATACGAGTCACTAGGTAATACCTGCAAGGAGCTACTGTAGAAAGAATCGAGGGGAAGATACCTTGTATCTCTTCCATAAATGATGTTTGAGTCAAGAGGCAATGATAAAAAGCTAGATAATTTCACCATTCTCATTGCTCTGAAGGCATGTGCGAGGTTAAGGCACTCACATATGAAAAAATAATACATGGGTTTGTGAAGAAACATGACAATGTTGCTTTGAATATGTTTGTGGGTTATGCATTGATTGAATTGTATTCCAAATGTGGAGAAATGGGCAAGGTTGTGAAAGTTTTTGACGAGTTTTCTCAACTAAATGTGTTTTTATGGAGTGCGATAAAAAGAAGGTGGAAGCATCTACCCTTTTATATTTCGCCCTCCCCTCTGACAATTCATGGCTCCGCCATGTTCGAAATGATGATAAAAAATTTAGCAACTATCTTAAACAAAGGAAACTAGTATGCTTGCCAGAGAAAAAAATTATTTATCACATTTTGTATTTCTCTTTGTGACCAGCAACACAATCGTACTGATTGCTTGCAGGAGAAGAAAAATTTGCCTATAACAGTTATGTACACTCACTTTGTGACAAGCGAGACAAAACTAAACATGTTTTATGAGATATTTTCTCCGATTACAGCCTTGCAAGCTTCACCATTATCTTAAAGTAACATTGACTTAAATACGTAACTAAGTTATAAAAGAGATAAAATTTAGGCGCTCGTGTGTTGAAACTAAATTGCGAAATCCAATAGACAACCAGTGTACATTGTGAATAATATATACATAACGTTCAGGGCGGTTGCAAATGTTATGCTGAATTGTTCGAGGGCAGGAACAGGACTCCTGTTGTTTCTTGCATGATTAGTCTCCAATTCTCCAAATTAATTGCTCCTGCGTCCTGTATGGCTCGTGAATCAGAAAATTGAAATCAGGAATAGGAATCCCATTATTGAGCAGGTAAGGGACCAAGTTAATTTCATGCGTAGAATAAAGCTATTTGCACGGGAAGATTGGGAAAAAAAATATATCTACAATTAGAATGTCAGTATTTAAGCTTTGTTTGAGATACCATTATAACTGAGAACGTCTGGGTTATAATAAAATTTCTCTCTTATTTTAACTATTTATAATAAGTCTTAATGAAGTACAACAGTTTGTATTACATTGTCGAACAAACCAATAAAGGAATGACACGTAATCGTTCTCTCAACTAGCTATCGTGTAGTGAAGCCCTTTCAGTATTAGACTTTTAACTTAGGAAGAAATATTTCTTTAAATTGCTTCCTTCTATTTCACTCCACAATTTGCTCAGCTATTCTTGAAATTGCAGAATAAGTTCCAATAATAGAGCACACCGCCCCCACACTGATAATCATAATGCAAGTTGCAATCTGAAAATTAGAACAAGAAAACATTGTGAAAACCCTTTTATTACAGAAGACTTCCAGTATTTAAATTGCAACTAATTACAATGATGGCTTGCTTCTTAATTACCTGCAACTTAGTTAATCTACCTCTGTGTAGCTTGAGATAACACATGCATGGGAAGACAACAGCCTGAAAAGGAACAAAAGAAAAAGTAAATTAATTTAACTCGTCGATAAACTGCATGTAATACTCTAGGGTTATGACTTATGCGCATATATAAGAAAGAAGATACTCACCACTAGCATTGCTACAAAGGATCCAATCAATGCCATCACAGAGCCTGCATTCCAATTCACAAAATGAATTTATATTAAGGGTAGTGCTTTTCACACACCTTTTTACACACTCTTATTAATTTTTGTTCATTGATCTTCGTCGATCATCCCATCCGACCGCCAGAAATTGAGAGAGGTGTGTGAGTGGTAAAAATGGATATATGGATAGAACCACCCTATTTTAAAAGGAAATGCTATTATACAGTTTGATATGCTATGTCACTCGATTGTCAATTAAAACTCAACAAGATTAATTTTGTTAGTAGTTGATATTCACAGTCCAACAACTTACCAAAGTATGGAAAATTCATTGCCACAACCAAAGTTGATAGAACTAGAAGTGTTCGAACGAAGATCGAAACTAAGTGAGATCCCATCCAAGCATCGGGAAAGAGTTCCTCCAAACTCAAGGCCACTGGTGTCATCGTCAAGGCATACTTTGTCATTGGGATCACAACCTGTATAATCGAGAAAAAAAATGACATAGTGAAAATGTATTTCGAAACTAGGGCATAATTCGATAATTGGGATTCATATATGAAAGGGAACCAAGTTTCTTGAACCATACTGTTGTCCACACTGAAATTTTAGAAGCAACAAATTGTTTGGGCATGTTTAGAGTGAACTGAGAGTGGGTTGAGTCTCCAAACATCATAAAGCCACATACTGCTACGCCAGTGTATATGAAGAAGCAAAAAGTAATACTGCAGCACGAGATAAATATAAATTACTATGTCACGCATTTTTGAAACCTTGAAAAATAAAATGTCAAGTCTTAAAAATTACGCCAATGTGGTCACCTGGTTATTAGAACTGCTGAAAATTGCGATGGTTCCCTCATCGATGTGTAGATATTAGGGAAAACCGAATGGCCAGCGAAGCCGAAACCATATATTCCAATTGTGACAGAGATATCTGCAAGGTGTAGGGCTGATCCTTTGTGATGAAATCCAACTTGGTTCACCACACCCACCCACAGCAAGCAAAGGGCAACCAAGATTGAAGCAACTACTCCTCCAACTGAAAACATTGGTTCAATTGTACATTTTTTCTAGGGTTTAATTAGACGTCCAAAAACATAAAGAAAATTACAAAATAAGTTTAAAAGAAATTATCGGATAAGTGATGAGAACATGAAACCTGAGAGGTAAGAGAGCAAACTAAGGTTTTGAAGCCATACTGTTGGAAGAATTACAAGGGTTGATGTGATGGCAAAGATTTGGTGGCAATCCAGATGGATACCAGCAAATGTCATATGTGTGTTTGGGAATGCTGATGCCAAGTTATCACTCATCATAGTCAAAAACTCTACACAAGCAGCCTACTAGAACACAAATAATCACCCTCTAATGCATAATATTGTAAGAAGGAATAATATATCTCATCTTTTAATAAAATGGAGAACAGTTCAAAAGCCACAGAGGTGCACTTACATATAGTTCTAGATACAATATTATCTGCATGACCAGAACCCTAGTGTTAGTTTTGCTTCAATGTTCAAACTTCAAACATAGAAAAGAAGGCTTGGTTGTAATTCACAATCTGACAAAATAAGCATTCATTGCAAAGTTGGACTTACAGATAGGAAAAAGCGGCCAGCTGACCCGAACGCTGCCTGGCCAATATCCGGGTAGGTTCGGAGTCCTGGACAGCTTTCTAAGCACCTCTTCAATAAAATTCCAGTATAGCAACAGATGACACCAAAAAGTGCAAGCAGTATAAGGCTCAACCACCCTCCTTCCCTAATAGCATATGGGGTTGTAAGGAGCCCTATCCCACAAAGCACATTGATTCCTTCATAAATGACAAATAAGAAAAGTTCATTTTTCTTTTTAATACAAGCGGTAGTGTAGAGTGGCGTTGAACACAGGATATTGGTATAAATACTCCTAACCAACTGGGCTAGAATGCAGTTGCAAAATATGGAATTTCTCATCTAAATTAGCATGAAGTTTGATAGTTATTACCATTGATTACAGCCTGAGAAAAAGAACAGCATCGCTCTTGCGGTGGTGGCAACTCATTCAGGGAGGAGCATTTTGAGACGTAGGAAGAGTAAAGTTTGGCAGCTTGGGAAGGTGAGGGAGGAAGTTCTTTGTCTAACCAATTTTGAGAGATTAGTAATCTAGTAGAACTGGAATCAGAATCAGATGATATTGAGTGCCTCTTGTCAAGGATAGAGAAATTAGATGTAATACTAGAAGCTCGTAAAAACACGAAGGAAGGTGGTGTCACACTTGTGTACATATCGATCGATTGCCTGCGCAGATGCAATAACGAATTGTTATCAAGAGTTTACATGTGAAAAGCCCTCAGAAAAATTGTTGGTACCTTCATTTGTTGGTAGTTTTTCTTTTGTAACTTTTATTTGACGATACAACAAATTTTCATTAACGAGTGAGATCAATCCATGCTATTACGTTTTCCATTAAACTATCTATTATTAGGCTCTATTTTCTTTGTTAAATTGAAAGGAATTGAACGTAAATTCAATTGTAATCCTAACTCATTGTCTCATCTTTTCTCACTAGCTACTAGAGTAAATTCCGAAGACCTTTTATTTGTCATCTTACGGTCATGACCTTGAATCCAAAATTCCTATTTATTTTGCAAGTGCGCCTTGTAACACAAGTCGTTAAAATGTTTGAAATTCCCCTCTCTAATATCCCTGGTAAAAAAAAAAAATCCTAATAGTTTTGTTCCCGTCAATAATTAATTCTATCCTTAAACATTTCTTAATTCTAAAATTTAGTCACAAACTAACCAAATATAGTAAAATACTGGTCATGAATCAATAATTATTTTCTTATTTAATCAAGAAGAAGCGATCCATACCTAGAACTCATCTGATATTAAAAAATACACTAAACTAAAAGCTTGTTGATAAATTAATTCACATCTGAATTCGTGATATAATTTTACAATTTCACAGCATAAAAATCTTCAAAAATGTTATTAATCATGTTATAATCTGTGAAGGAATTACCTGTAGCTTTGAGGCCATGCATTAGTATTAATGTCAATGGAGTTCTGTGATAAGTTTGGTGTGGGAACTCTGATGATATCGGATTCGGAGTCGGTTTCATACTGCTCACACCCCCGGTGTGCCTGGTTTTCTTCATCCTCGGTGTGAAAGTGATCGTCCCCGCGATCGGGACCGAGATCCTCGTCCATCTTCGTCCCACTCATCATGATATATCAAGCACTCTTTCGTCCGTGATTACCCTTAATCAAGCACAATTAAAATTTTAATTAAGACACAATGTTTACGAGCTTCTTGGTCTTTTCGTCACGGACTAAGAAAATTAGAAAACCTAATCAGGATTAGAGCAGAATAAAAGAAAGGAAGAAGAAGAAGATTAGCACTTAACTGGTTGTGTCAGATGGGAATTTGGTTTCACCATCTACGTATGAGTCCTACGTTTTAGACGTTTTAGGAGATGACAGCGTGCATGTTGCTGTATGTGTGTGTGTGGCTATTAGACTCTTTCGTGAATCAAGACGTACGCGAGTCGGTCGATTATTTCGCTCTCGTTCTTTCAGCTGGACTCTCGTTCCGAACCTCAGGCTGTGTTTTGGTAATGGAAGATTTTGGATCCGGTCTCTGGTTATGAATATTCTTTGACTAAAACTTTGTTGTTTTTTAATTTTTTATCAAAGTTCTTGAAATTAATGTGATAATTTATTTATATGTATGTTACTAATTTTTTAAATTAAAAATTAAAATTTATAGTTGTTTATATTAATGATATTTTAAATAAAAACCATAATTTGTGGGATTAAAAAAATTAAAATATAAATATACTATTGTGTGTGTGTAAACATGGGTACATTCATCAAAATTAACCAAAAAAATTATTCTACCAAAACATGGGTACATTCTTCAAAATAAAAAAATAAATACAAAAATAAATAAAAAAACGTATTAGCCTTAATAACATTAGTAAATTTGTCTGATTAAACATAACATGATCAAAGAAAAAAGAATGTGTCCATATAAGTTTAAAAATGGATTAGAAAAAAAAAATTGAATAGATTTTATATAAAAAAAATATATTGGTACATTTTACATATAACAAATTGGTATATTTAAGAACGAGTAAATTTTAAGATTATGTCACGTCCCGGCCCGGGCGGGACCACTTCCCGGGCCCGCTTCACCACCGTAGCACGATATTGTCTGTTTTGGGCTTACCATTCCCTCACGGTTTTATTTTTGGGAACTCACGAGCAACTTCCCAGTGGGTCACCCATCATGGGATTGCTCAAGCCCCCTTCTCACTTAACTTCGGAGTACCTACGGAACCCGAAGCCAGTGAGCTCCCAAAAGGCCTCGTGCTAGGTAGGGATGGGAATATACATATAAGGATCACTCCCCTGGGCGATGTGAGATTGTCGTACTGGTTACCATGAGTTGCATATGTTATATTGAGATGCATTGAGAGCTCATAAACCTGCACCCCGGTGTTAGTGCTCCCGCCCGTGGCCAAGGCACAATCCTTCACGTGATGTTCACCTCCCGCACCTTACGCTCACCTTGGATCCAAGGTAGGTGCACAGTCTTATCGTACAGACCACTTTAGGTGGTTCCGACTCGTAGGTGACCCGCGATTATTCGCCCAGTCTTCACGTGATCGTAGCACTTGAGCGTATTTATTTACACCCAGTCTTGTCGTACAGACCACTTTAGGTGATTCCGACTCGTGTGCAGGTATACTTATTGAGCTATTGGCTAGCCATGATTGATGAGATATGGATAAGTCGTACAGGTCACTATAGGTGACTCCGACTTATATGCTAGCCATGATTGATGAGATATGGATAAGTTGTACATGTCATTTTAGATGACTCTGACTGATATATCACTCTATATTGATTAAGTTCATTTGGCCTACTTATTATTGTATGGTGGAGTTGATGGCAAACCGTGGTTTTGGTCATTTCTGAGTATGGTTTGGATATATGTATCTATGTTATACTGTCCTATAGAAAACGATAAAGGAATTACAGTGAGGGGTTATTACTGTTAGAAAGGTAATAGTTTTGGGAAGCTTGGTTTTACTGCTTACTCACACTTTCTGTTTTGTACCCCTTCAAGTTTTAACTGCTGAGTTCGTATCAATGAGGATATATAGCTAATCTTAGTATTGGTGCCTACTTTTAAGGGTATGATTCTTATTCACACTACTGTACCTTACTTATGCTCTGACATCGCGTGTGAAATAGGTTCGCTCCCACTCGTAGCGCACTCTGGTATTTAGACACTTTTAGATTCAAATTTATTCACATTTTTCTACACTCTATCACATTTTATGACTTCGTCACCTTCCAGGTGTGGGCCAACACAGCTCGATTCAGGGTCCAAGTGGACTTTCTGGGTCGGGGTGTGTCAGATTAAAAATTTGAAAAAAATTACATGAATGGGTAAATATAAGATTAAAAAATTGAAAACATTTTTTTAAAAAAGCTAATGGGTACAAACTTATTTTAATTTTTTTATTTATTTTGGAAATGCTTTGAATTGAAAATTAGTTAGGAGTTTAATAAAGGTGTGAGTATTAAAATTCTAAACCAATTATTAATTTTTATTTTAAAAAATTATGTAACTGACATGTAAATTCATTATTACATTAATGTTAGGAACTTAGATCAAAATCTGAAAACTAATAAGGTTTCAATCAATGACATTAGTAACTAGGAGCCGGATACTAATTTTTCCTTTAGTAATACTAATCAAATTTGGTTTGTCATATACTCCATATTTGTGTAACGAATTTATTGTTAATACACAAATTTATTGCTAATATTTTTGCATGAAATTACATTATTGTCCATGATTTTATGTGACGACCCGTCCTTAATTTTCCATGTAATTTGCTCCCCAAGTGTGTAAAATGATGTTTATGTCCTTTTTGGCAAAAGTGAAACTTGACGTGGATGTAGTTATTCGGCTTTTAAATTATTTTTCTCATTATCATAATTAAATAGCACTCGTTGTTATGAATGCGTGAGCGCGAGTTAGATCTGAATCGGAGTTGTAACGAAAAAGTTACATTTAGTTAAAGTGCATTAATAACGGGTAGATTTGAACACGCTTGTGCTAATTATTAAGTGTTGGAAACACTGTTTTAGATAGGATGAGTTAGATTTTACAGATTTTATGTACATTTTATATTGTAAAAATTTTATCCCTCCTCTCTTTAAAGATCTATCCCGTGACTTGCTCTACCTTACCCACCAATCAACTTTATTCCCATATTTTCTCCCCCAATTAGACACACACACACTCTTTCTTTCTTCTTCTTCTTCTTCTCTCCCTCACTCGTCACTCTCTTCTCTGCAACAACCTTACACCATAAAAAAACTTCACAAATCGAACCTTAAACCACCACCATTAAACTCCTCTCATCCCCACGAGTCCATTCATACAAACCGCTCTTAAAATGGACGAGTTTTGCGCTTCTAACTCGGAGCAACTCAGAGCTCCGACTCGGGTGGAGGTTCCCTGTCAATTTCTAGCTTGTGTTACAAGGTTTTGGGAGATTTGGAGGCCACTACACAACTCCTTGTGACCACTAACCTAAGTTGGGAGATTTACAAGGTCATGGCATGTTCACATACATTATACATGTTCATCATACATGCTTGCACCGGTTTAGTACTCACCCGGGCTAGGGCCAGTGTCACATCCCGGCCCGGGACGGATCACTTCCCGGGCCCGCTCCACCACCGTAGCACGATATTGTTCGCTTTGGGCTTACCATTCCCTCACGGTTTTGTTTTTGGGAATTCACGAGCAACTTCCCAGTGGGTCACCCATTATGGGATTACTCTAGCCCCCTTCTCGCTTAACTTCGGAGTTCCTACGGAACCCAAAGCCAGTGAGCTCTCAAAAGGCCTTGTGCTAGGTAGGAATGAGAATATACATATAAGGATCACTTCCCTGGGCGATGTGGGATGTCACAATCCACCCCCTTTAGGGGCCTGATGTCCTTGTTGGCACACCACAACCAGGGTTAGGCTCTGACACCAATTGTCACATCCCGGCCCGGACGGATCACTTCCCGGGCCCGCTCCACCACCGTAGCACGATATTATCTGCTTTGGGCTTACCATTCCCTCATGGTTTTATTTTTGGAAACTCACGAGCAACTTCCCAGTGGGTCACCCATCATGGGATTGCTCTAGCCCCTTTCTCGCTTAACTTCGGAGTTCCTACGGAACCGAAAGCTAGTGAGCTCCCAAAAGGCCTTGTGCTAGGTAGGGATGGGAATATACATATAAGGATCACTTCCCTGGGCGATGTGGGATGTTCACTTTAGATTCATTGTAGGTGCCAGTCTTGTCGTACAGGTTGCAACAGGCAACTCTGACTCGTATGTGATGCGCCTAAAGCTAGTCTTCACGTGATTGTAATACTAGAGCATATATTATGATTACGCCCAGTCATGTTCATGCTGGAACTTATCTGCATGAGATCGTGTGTTAGCATAGGTTGATGAACACCCGATTTTATTTTGCTACTGTTGAGATATTGTGACTTGGCGTATTGCTGGATTTATTGTCGATTTACATTTGATTTCATACTTATACATAATATGATTTTCTCGAAACTATACAAGTTTTATGGCGAGGGGTTAGTATGTTCAAAAAATAATAAATGCGTTTTATAAACCTTTGTTTTTGCCCACTCACCCTTCTGTTTTTCGTCCTTCCATGTCCTAGTTAGATGATTACTCCGTGGCGTACGAGGAATATCCGGCGATTCTGACATACCCCTAAATAAATATAGGAGCTTTTCCTGTTGTGTAATAAGCACTTTAACTAGTTTCGACTGCACACTTTTATGTCATCTATGCTCTGAACACTTGTGTTTTATAGGTTCTTCACACTACTGCGCACTCGCTACTTTAGATTAAATAAACGTTAGCTTTGGTTTTAAATTCATCCATATTTTTATGCTTCACTTTCCTTTTTGGTTACATCACCTTCGGATGACGGCCAGCATGCCTCGACTTTAGTCGGGGTGTGTCATTTTATTTGTTAATATTTATTATTGAATTGTAAATAAAGGACCAAATCGTCGTTTCACTTCCATGATTTTAATTTTTAATATTTTTATTGAATTGTAAATAAAGGATCATGTCGTTTTTCACTCTCTTTTGATTCACAAAGAGCGTTTTGCTTTGTCCCCCTATCATATATGCATTTAAGATGGGAAGTGTTATTGGCATTCAAAAAATCTCATTCTACACTCCTCATAAGTGTACTTTTCTTTCCTAATATAGAAAGTTCGGAGAGTAGAATGAAATTTTTGGAGTGCTAATAACAATTCCCTTTAAGATTCATAGCCATATTTATTCTTGAACAAAATTAAGGATTGAAAAGTCGGGAGAAAATAAGAGAATGAATTTGGGGTGGGTGGGGTGGACGGAAGAGAGAGAAGATGGAGGGGGATGACAAAGTTAGAAAGGGGTGAGGGATTAAGAGACAAAATGGGGATGTTTGATTCATTTCTCATTTTAAGTTTTTTTTTTTTTCTCTTCGTTTTGTTCTTTGACTACAAAGAATATGTAAGAGGATTAATTTGTAACAGAGCCTTTGAAGTCTTTTTACATAAGGTTAAATTTGATATTAAAATTTGTTAAATAAAAAATGTGTTAATAAAATTTTCATTAAAAAGTGGATTGGGAAACAAGACAATGGGGTGGGTATATCAGCACTTTGCTTATAGGTAGTATAGATTATAGGTTTTGTTAGTTATAATGATATCAACACCATATTAAGAACATAACAACAATTTGTTCTCTAATAAAAATGTGAAGGATGCAATCCCCTTTCTCGTACGATATTGTCATTAAGTGATAACATGTTGATACATTTTGTTGGCTACAATGATATATCAACACAATATCGAGAACACATCAACAATCCATTTTATAAGCGGACTATATATCTAACAGCCAACGTATATGGCATGGTGATAATTAACCAAAAGTTTTATGCTACAATGTTGAAGAGAAATCTTGTTAATAAGCTTTGACAGCAGGTGAGATTCAAGTTACAAAACAGAGAAGGTTGTGACGGAAGGGGCCTAGAGAGATCTATCTTTTGTCGACTTGGTTGAGCTTGCCAAGGCCATTGCAACGAGCACAGACGATCTGAGCCTCGTCCTTCCTCGCTGCATTTGCTCTCAAAGTTGCCCCTCCCTTCCGAACGAAACCTGCCCCGTCGCATTCGGGACACCTAAAAAATCAACACGGCAAGCACAATTCAAGCTTCCATATTTAGGGTTTTGAATAACCATAAAAATAGAATCATGCTTAGCAAACAAGGAAACCAATGAAATGCAAGAGTGGGGTGTTCATAAGTAATTACAGGTCCTTCCTGGAGAAGAGGATTGGAAATGCAGTGCCAAGCAAAGCAACAGCAGCAGCACCGGCAATCAGGTAGGGCGTTCCATCAGCTGATACATCTCCAATGGCAGCAACCACCGTCAACGATTTCTTCTTTTCAGAGTGCATTCTGAAGAGGGAGGGGCTCCGGACAACCGCTGCCGCCGACTGTTTCAGCGGCTGTGCAGAAATCATCGTCAGAGGTGAAGACATTGATCCCATCTCGGAGATAATTTGGTAATTTGAGTTTCTTAGGGTGGAAGAGCAAAGGTTCTGGTTTGGGTTCAGGGTCTATGGATATTGCTTAAATTTAAATGGATAGGGCAACGTCAGCACAACTCAAAAATATCTGTGGCTTTAGAGATAAGGCTGGGTCCACGCCATTGACGCCAACTTCAATGATTCAATAGAAAGCAAACAAGTTAAGTGCATTTATCCGCATAGGACTTCCTGAGTTCGAATCTCACCCCCAAATACCGTCTGTAGAAAAAGGAAAATAACAGAGGTCCATGGGCGCCTTACTCTTCTCCTTTTCCTCAATCTTGTGGAGGCCTAGTCCGAGCCGACGTCCACTAACTCGTGGTTGGAAGTAAACGAATTGTTGGGAGATTCTGTGGCTTGTGAAAGCAATGAAGTAAAACCTTGCCGACAAGCTGTGGCAGCGATTGAGAGGCAGCACTCTGTGGGCAGTGGCACGTTAAGAGCCAGGGGCTGCATTGCTGTGGATGAGCAGGACCCTCAGCAATGAGGGCGATGGCACGAGACTTACATTGCTATGGCTCAGCATCCAATGTCCACATGGTCAACTATACATTCCATGGAAGCGCAGAGGTTTTTTAGTGGAACCCGTTGTGTACAATCATGTGTCTTATCTCGTTGATACGGAAAACGTTCTCCACCTCATGAGATAGATACTTGGTTGTTACACATAAAGGTTTGGTATTGCATATTGCATACCAAGAAACTTGCTCAAAAAAGAATGGTCAAGGAGAAATACTTCTTTTACAAGCAAACAGATTAGACCACATAAATGTCTCCTCGCTATAGCCTATAGCGGTAACCCAATTCATGTTTGTAGGTTGGGAATGAAATCTTTGGTAGCATCAAGGATCTTTAGCTAGGATGATATTAATACTACCTTTGTAAGTTGTTTAGGACTCAGACTGGAATGGATAAACCGCTACGTTCATAGGAGAAATGATAACATTGTGTCCAACCTGAAGGCAGAAGAATTACTCAATAAGGAAACTTATCGATTCCAATCCCCGCAGAATAGCACGATTTGAGGGACGAAGTTTCCTTCATGCTCTAATCCCCTCATAATGAAAAAACATTCACCTCTACCTTCAATACATTACGCCTAGGCACCTAACGAGCCCTTGAACACATCAAATCCATGCTACATAACACATTAGGAGCAAACTCACACCCCTAAATCCTTCCTGGTTTTCAATGAACTGGTACCTAGTCATCTAGAATCATGGTGGCAATGGTTGAAATTGAGTTTGTTATATGGATTTGCAATTTATGAGTGATTACGATCTCCTCATTTCCAACTGGAATAAGAATTTGAACATACAAATCTCAGAAGTTAGGAAATTAGTCACAAGCTCCGAGGGATGAATATAAACGATACAGAGCATTTTAGAACAACCGAAACTGAGAGACCGCATCTCAAATCAAATCTTGCACGAACGTAAAAATACAACTCAACAGCATACAAGAAGTGAACCAGTAATCAATTTCAACTAAAACCAGAACAATCCTATAACAATGCTAAAGTACAACAATAAAAAATAAAAACAGCCATCAGCTTCTAGGTTAATTCACTGCAAATCTGCAACAAGCAAGGGCCAAAAATCCTAACAGTAATAAAAACAATAGCATAAAGCCTAGTACCTCGGTTAACTAACTTTCGAATGCAATGCCAACCGGCCACTCTAACCCTGTGGCTTTACTTACCCTCCTCCTCCTCCTCCTCCTCCTCCTCTTCCTCTTCCTCTTCCTCTTCCTCTTCCCCAAATGGGTGGAAACTAATTCCCTCTGTACCAATTCAAAAATTACATCTCTTCGACGGAGCCCCAATTGAGAGACTCTTGAATTCCCTGTCATGTATTGCTATTTACACCAAACAAATAACAAATGTACAAACTTTGCCTTCCTTAACAAGGACATTAGCACAACGTAATCAAAAATAGAAGAACCCGAAATGACACAACACTAAACCTCAATCAGTTGTCTTCCAAAGCCCAACGCTGGCTCCTCCTCCGTGATGGTCTACTGAACACATTGCCAGACCGACTTCTCGAGCTTCTCAGCCTGCCGAAAAAAGAGAAGAAATTGCGAAAGGCCTGAGCGAACCCCCCACTCTCTCTAGCCCTTCTTCTAGAAGCCCATGAAATCCTCCAAGGAGCACCGGCCGTATTGAACCCAACATCCATCTCGGTGTAAACAACTGGAAGCTCGCGCTCCGCGGCTCTTCTGCCTCCGGTGAACCTCCCCACAGCGAATCCGCCACCGGGCAATCTCCAGATAGTCAACCCCACCGTCTCCTCTTCTCCAACCACGCCATTGTTCTCTGGCGAAGCCATGCCACTGCCACGCGGGCCTCTCACATCGGTGGGGAGCTGGTACCGGCAAACCGGGCACGAATTGCGGATCGAAAGCCATGGGAAGATACAATCTGAGTGGTAGATGTGCTTACACGGCATCTCCCGCGCTTCAGAGTCGAGCTCGAAAGCCTCTTTGCAAACGGCGCAGTGCAACTCCGTCGAGACATGGCTGTCGGCGATTTTGATGAAGGGCATCGACTCGATCGCGGCTTTGGACGCCGGAGGGTGGTCGAGCCGCGCGACACCGTTTTCCAATTGGGTCAACTGGTGGAGCAACCGGTCGAAACCCGAACCCATCAAGATATCCGACATCGACGACGGCAGCGGGCGGAGACCCATCCCAGCTCCATCGTCATAGAACAGCTCGAAACTTCCCGGGTCGGATTCTGTGTCGGATGGGCCGCGGAGAACGATGACCGGGTTAAACGGGGACCGATCGCGGCCACTTCTCTGATTCCGGCGAAGTATAGGCGGGCTCGGACTCTGCGAAGCCGGGGCGCTGTCAAGGAACATCGCGGCGGTGGGAAACGGGTGGTGGACCGGAGACGACCGGGTCGGGGTCGGGATCTCTTCAATAAACCCAGCTCCGCAATCGGGGCAGAGGATCGAATCTTGGGTCCGAACCCGAACATGAATCGACCGGTTACACGTGTAGCACCAGTAGGACGATGCGGCCATGGAAGCCATATGAAGGTATCGGAAACCTAGAAATTGCAGTGAAAGAGGGAAAGATGCTTTCTTTCTTCCGTTTTCGAAATTGGGTAAAGTTTGAATCTTTGTTGAAGTGTAATCGAAGCTCGGCGACCCAGATGAATGCGATTGAAATCTCGGAAGCTCAGATCGTCGAGTGGGATTGGAGGCCCAGTGAACCAAGAGCAAAGAGGAGAGAGAGAGATGTAGAGAGAGAGGAGGGTGAAAAATGAGAATAAAAAGGTTTTGAAGTGGGCAAAGCGAAGGGTAGCGCGTTGTACGATAAAGCGTGGTAGTTACGCTGTACATTCGCCAAAGCGATGAAATGAAATGAAATCATTTAGAGCACTCCCACCGTTGCATTTAGCTCGGGGGACCGGCTCCAGAACAAAGGCCCGAGGGCCGGTGGACGGCGTCCAGCGTGACGCAGGCCGGGGGACGGGGGAGGCCCGAGGGCCAGGCCCGTGAGGGATTGCCAGCCCTTGAGCCCGAGGTGGGAGTGACGCAAGGCTGACGCCAGGATGGCGTCAGCGTAATATTTTATTTTTTTTGTGTCAGGCGCGTGCACCCCACCCGCGCGTGGGGGCGCGTCCTGACACGTTAATCAGAAAAAAAAAAAAGTTTGTCTGTTACCGTTGGGAAGCCACGTGGCTTCCCACGGTACGTTAGATCCTAACGGTCACTTAATGTGGACCGTTAGATCTCAACGGTAAAAAAAATTCAAACTGTCAGATTTAATATCCACCGTTCGATCTGAGATCAACGGTGGATATTAAAATGCTTTAAAAATTAAAAAATAAATGAAAAAATAGTTTTAAAAATCTGAAAAGTTACCGTTGTGACACGTGGCACAATCTGGAGCGTTGGAATTCAAATTTTTTTATATCCAACGGCAGAGATTAATTAATTGAATAAAAATTTAAAAAAAATTGTAAAAAATTCAAAAAAAATCAAAAAAATATCTGAAAAATCTGAAAAAAATTGTAAAAAAAATTGTTTTTACTTTTCTATAAATACCTTCTCATTATCATCTACCTTCACAACAATTTCATATTTTCTCAACTACTTTCAATCACATTCCTTTCTTTGTCTCAAAGTTTGAATCCATTTTTTTTCAACAAAATGACCACTGGTGCAGGTACGAATTGGTCGCTTATTGAAGATGTTGCGTTGTGTACTAGCTGGGTTGAAGTTACTCATAGTTCGCTTACGGGTAATGAGATGCAGTTGCGAGAAATGTGGAGTCTTATTCATACAAATTTTCTTGAGAAAATTGGTGGGCAAAGAACCAAAGAATCGATGTCCAGTCGTTGGAAATTACTTAGCCAATCGTTTAGTACGTGGAGAGATGCTTTGGCACAAGCTAGTAATAATATTCGAAGTGGGGAAAATTACTCGGATATGGTAACAAGATATTATTATTTATTGTTTGTATTCTTTATTTGTTACGTACAAAATTTATTATTTATTGTTACTTATTTGTTACATTATAATTATGTTGTTTGTTACATTATAATTATGTTGTTTGTATTATTAATTTGTTTGTTACATTATAATTATGTTATTGTTACTTATTTGTTACATTTATTTGTTACATTATAATTATGTTGTTTGTATTATTTATTTGTTACTTATTTTCATTAAAATTAATGTATAATATCACTTACATTAAGAAAAAAAAATGTGTATATTTAAGGTTAAAATTATTTACTAAACTTGAAGCCTTCTTACTTATTTTCATTATCTTTGTTACTTATATATATATATATATATATATATATGTATATATTTGCTAGTTACTTATTTTCATTATAATTATTTATTTGTTACTTATTTTTATTGTGTAGGAACTTCAAGCACAAGCTTGGTACGCTGCCAAAACCAAAAGCAAAAATAAATCATTCAACCGGTGGGAATGTTGGAATATTGTCAAAGATTGTCCTAAATTTAGAGTTGTGCCAGTTGGTCCAGAAGTGCACATGAACAACACCCCTCTACACTCTACACCCGATGATGAGAGAGGAGATGATGCAGAAGAAGTGCCCGAAACGCCCCTCCCTGAACAAGCGTCGGGTTCGACCCGTTTTCCAATTAGGCCTCAAGGTAAGAAGGCTTCAAAGAGAAAAGGGAGTGCTTCCAAAAACGATTATGCAAAGTTCATGGAAGAACTTACTCGCCAAGGTGAATTGACTTTGGCGAGGGAACTGGCGAAAGATGAGGCTGATAAGGCTGATAAGGCATCAAAAGCAGCAGCTGTTGAGAGAGAATTTTATGCTAATGAGAGAGAAAGAGAGCTACTTAGGCAAGAAAGGGAACATGTTAGAGAAGAAAGACGAGCTCAACAAGATCGTGAGATTATGAACATGTCTTTAGAAGGGAAGTCTCCAAATTCTAAATTTTTTTGGAAGTCAGAGAAAGCGGACGTGGTGCGAAGGAGGCGTGCAAGAGAAACAATAGCAAGCCAAGGTGGTTCTAGCACCGCAAGAGAAGATCATCCTAGCAGCACAAATTGGTTAAGTGATGATGAATAGAGTACTTTTTGTAATCGGAGCCCATAATTTTCCAATCATTTGGGTTGTAATTTATTATTTATTGTTTGTATTATTTATGTTGTTTCCATGTTCATGAATATTTATTCAAATTAATTTGGTAAGTTATTTATATTAAGAATTAATTTGGTAAGTTATTTAATTTGGTAAGTAAAGTCCATTAAACATAAACATAAACATAAACATAAACATACTAAGAATTACATAAACATAAACATAACAAAATTACATAAACATAAACATAAACATACTAAGAATTACATAAACATAAACATAAAAAAATTACATAAAAAAATTACATAAACATAAACATAAAAAAATTACATAAACATAAACATAAACATACTAAGAATTACATAAACATAAACATAAAAAAATTACATAAACATAAACATAAAAAAATTAAATAAACATAAACATAAACATATACTAAGAATTACATAAACATAAACATAAAAAAATTACATAAACATAGCAAATAATAAAACACACCAAATAAAATAACATAAACATACCAAATTCAAAATAACACACTAAAATGAACTTAATTATCCTCAGCTTGTTTCAATGCCCACTGGTGCTCTATCAAGTCAATTTGTCGGGCATTGTGCATGTCTGGCATTTGAAATGCAGTATATCGTTGAATGAGCCTTTCATTGTAACGTCCATCCCTTTGTAATGGCTCATGTTGCACGGGGTCATCGGTGGCGTCATGAGCACAATATATACGTGTTCTTGAATTGTTCATCGGGTCTGGCTCATATTCATCAACAGCTTCATAATCGTACTCATCTTCCACAATCATGTTGTGAAGAATGATGCACGTCATCATGATGGATCGAAGCGACTCTACATCAAACAATCTGGCAGCACCCCTGACGATCGCCCAGCGAGCTTGGAGGATACCAAAACAACGCTCCACATCCTTCCTGCACCCCTCTTGACAACTTGCAAAGTGTTTTTCCTTCGCACTCCGCGGACGTGGCACTGTTTTGACAAATGTTGACCAGCGCGGGTAGATGCCGTCAGCTAGGTAGTATGGCCCGTCGTACATACGTCCGTTGACCTCATATGTAACTTTTGGTGCCTTTCCTTGCAGGACATCGTTGAACACTGGGGATTGGGCAAGGACGTTGATGTCATTTTGAGCTCCCGGGACCCCGAAAAAGGCGTGCCAAATCCATGTATCAAAAGATGCCACCGCCTCCAGAATGATACTTTTTGCCCCTTTTCTGTCCCCGTAAGCGCCTTGCCATGCACTTGGACAGTTTTTCCACGTCCAGTGCATACAATCAATGCTTCCAATCATCCCAGGAAAGCCACGCATCTCCGCCTTCTTCAACAGCCGCTCCAAGTCCATGTGTGTGGGTTTGCGGAGGTACTCAGCGGTGTAGATAGATTCGATTGCTCCGCAAAACCTCATCAGGGACTCAAGAATGGTTGATTGCCCCATCCTCGTTATCTCATCCACTTGGTCTGCAGATGCTCCATATGCAAGCATCCGCAAGGCAGCAGTAATTTTTTGCTCCGGTAGTAGACCCATAGCACCAAAAGCATCTTTTTTTTGCACAAAATAAGAATCATGGTTGCAAACAGCAATCATGATTTTGTTGAACAAATGTCGTTCCATTCTAAAACGACGTCTAAAGTACGTATCAGGGAATGCACTATTAGGAACAAAATAATCATCCAAGAGTTCCATACCTCGTCGTTGCCTGCTTCTATCAAGGTTTCCGGAACGCCTTGGCCTGCAGATCTGAGCCGCAGCTTGGATGACTCGACGGGAATGTGAGGCTCTGCCCCTTCTTATGTCGTCATCTCTCATTTGACGCTCCTCATCTTCTTCCCTCTCATTTCTTACCCCCTGCTGATTGAACATTGATTCTGATTGGTTAAACAAGTCTTCCTCTTCCTGATTCAATTCCCACATCATCCTTGAGGAAGAAGAAGAAGACATTGAAAGAAAGAAACAGAAACTATGAATATTGAAACTGATTTTTGTGAATAAGGAAGCAGAAATTATGAATAATGATAGAGATCTTGAGAATTTTGGTGTGAGATTTGTGAAGATGGATGGTGGATTATATAGAGGATTCAGAAAGGATTAGGTTCTGCATAATGCCACGTGGCATGTCGTCATTCGTTAAAAATCTGATGGAAATCTATCATCCAAGATTGTTAACAGATTATGACACGTGGCATGCCGTCATTCGTTTAAAATCTGATAGAAATCTATCCTCAAAGATTGTGAACCGATTATGACACGTGGCGCGACGTGATTGGTTAATAATCTTATCAGAAATCCATATTATAATTATTTATTTTGTATTATTTAATAATACTTAGGATAATGACACGTGGCGCACCGAGAACGATTAAAAATCTTATCCGATATTACATTTAAAATTATTTTGTATTAATTTTATAAATAAAAAAAATACTAATATTTTATTGCCTATTGCCAGGGCTATAGAAGTGTAACGGTGGAGATGCAAAATCTATTGCCAGGGCTACTTACTGTTCATTAAGGGCAATTACTGTTCATTAGGTGGATTGAATAGTGTATTGCCAGGGGGGAGGGCTCCAACGCTGGAGTTGCTCTTAAGAAAAAT